ATGTTGTTCATCATCCACTGGAAGGTTTTCAGGGAGTTAGTAAGTCTGAAGAACATTACTATAGACTTGAACAGTTCTCTGTTTGTACAGAAGGCAGCCTTCCATTTGTCATCCTCCTTAATTTGGATATTATATCTCCAGTGTATGTCCAGTTTGATGTAATATTAGGCACCACACAATTTGTCTATGAGTTCCAAGATAAGCAGAAGATAATAGTGATTCTTGATTGTCATTTCATTAAGCTTTTGATAGTCTTGGACCAGCCTCAGTTTTCTGTCCTTTTTTACAAAAAAGAAGAGAGATGCTATTGGCAATTTTGAAGGATAAATTCTCCTGCTGGATAAGTTCTCATCCATAAATTTGTCAAGTTCTAGTTGTTCATGGTAACCAAGAGAGTAGGTCTTGCAATTGAGATTAATATTAGTGTTGGGAATCAGCTTGATTGCATGATTCTATAGTTTGAGTTCTGAAAGTTCATCAAAGTTCTTCTTCTTGAACAGGTTATAAAAATCACAAGCCCACTCTAGCACCATCTCCTCAAATGTTTTGAGTTCCTTTTTCTCATTGGCCTTCACAGCTAAGTCATTAGCATGATATATAACCTGCACATGGATTGCCCTTTTCATGTCTACCACCAGAATCATTTCTCTCTTCTCCATCTCTTTGTCCTATCTATCATCTTTGTCCTCATCTGATAGGACAAATGGAGTTTTGCAGCATTGACACTGGGAAAATATAACTTGTCCTGTCTTCCAATTGATTAGGGGATTATGCCAGATCAACCAGTCATAACCAAGAAAGATTTCCTTGGTTCCTAAGTTGGTGATAGCCAAGTTGATTCACTTGGCATGGTTCTCAATGGTCATTTGAAGTTCAACAAACTCCATAATTGAGCCAGCTTGGTTTCAAATCCTGTCAGCATTATATATAGGAATAGAGGCTGCAGTTGCCCTTGTGAGGAGATTGTGCTTAGTGATGAAAGCACAATTGATCAAGCTTCTAGTACAGCCACTGTCTATTAGTGCAGTGACTGAATGCATGAACTGGTTAGTCAGGGTATCAATTTGGACCTTGATGATAAGGTCCTTACCAATGGTCTTCTATCATTGAATGTACTATTGGAGTTTCTGGAGTTTGTCCAGCCACTCTAATGCATGATTTCTTTCAGCTTTTCTCATTTTCTCTACCATCTTATCAATGACTTCTTTGGCTCAGGCCTTGTGTATTCAGTTCTTGAGTACCATCTTAGCTTTCTCTTCAGTCTTAGCATTACAGACAGCTTGCCAGATCCACTCCATGTTGAACAGCTTGAGCCATCTAGTGAGGGTCTCTCCCTCTGTTTAACCTGTAGGCAGTTGAGTTTTTAATTTTTGTGATTCTTTTGGTGGTCTTAGTGTAGTGGAAATAGATCAGGGTATATTCAAATGTGTGAATAATTTACTTATAACTACAGAAGCACCATAAGCTTGTCCAACAGCTACATGAGACACACTATGAAGTCCATTGACTGATCAAGTGGAATTGCTCACTCATCAGCTCTATCTTTCACTTTCTCAATCTTTGTATCCTTTTCATTGTTCTTGATTGCTTCTGCTTCTTTTTGAAGTTCAGTGATCTGTGCTCAGATATCCTCTTGTATGCATTTTTTCTTTGGGCAGTTCTTTAACATGTGGCTCTTCTTGCCACAATTGAAGCACTTTTCTTCCTTCCTTCTTGAGCCAGTTGATATCCATTGGCTTGCCAGTTCTGGTGAAGATAGTTCCAAAGCTGTTCTTTTTCTCTCTAAAGAAAAGTGTGTTGTCAGCTTTAGGCAAGGTTGACTGATTATCAGGTTTGATGCTCAAGGGATTCTTCTGATTGTTCTGCTGAAAACTCCTGACCATCTTCTGTTATTGTCACTTTCTATTTATGATTGCAATTCTTTCCTTTCATTCATCATGTCCTGATATCTGCAATCATCTTAGTGTATAATGGAGGAACCCTAAGTTTGAGAGCTTCAACAAGGTGCCTATTCTCAGTGAGGTCCTCTCAGACTCTAGCAAGCTTAGCAAGTCATTCCAGATTGTTGAAGTATTCAACCACCATCTTGTCATCTATATATAACTCCTTTATCTTGTTCTTATATATTTCTTGAATAGTGAGGTTGAGGAATTTATCACAGATGGCAGCTTTGAAGGTGGGCCAAGATGGTAGACAATGATGCCTCCTGATCATAGAATATAAGTCTGCAAGCTGTAGAGTCCACCACTTTTTGGCCTTGTCTTCAAAGTATGAGATAGTGAAAGTGACTCAATATATGTCAACAGAGAGATAGGCTAAGTATACTTGAAAGTAAGTCTCATAGTCAATAAGAAATCAGCCTATGTCATCAGATTGCCTCTTGAAGGGTCAAGACTTTCACACTAGATCAAGTTTACATTGGATTAGAGTCACATTGGCCACTAGAGGACCTATCAGATTGAGATATTCCACAAACAGTGAATGATGCTATTCCTGGGGCAGTCCCAGAAGGGAGTACAGAGATCCATCATTTGCAATTGAACTTCCAAACATTGTGCCTGGCTTCTTTATGATTCATTCATTGACAATATTGAAGCCTAATTGTCAGGCTTTGAGGTTATCCTGTTCTTCTTCTGATTGGTCACTGGATTCTGTCTTATCAGCAGGTGGTTGACCAGCAAATATCTGAATTCCTTGACTATCCTTCTAGGGGTTTCAAGATAGGAGGGCTAGTTCAGCATGATAGAATAGATGTCAAAAGACCAAGGAATGTGTTGATCAAATAGATGGTGCTATATAAATAGTGCATTGTGGCAGGACAAGTGAGGTATTTGGTATTGGTCAGACTTCATATTTGGACTGGTATGCTGGTAGCTCAGCTATCAGATCCTCAGAGTAGGCTTCATTGTATAAATAAATAGCCTGTTCAGTAGCACTATACTGTAAAATGTTAATCTTTTCTTGATCATCCACAAGTTGATACTTTCTTCCTGAAGAGACCACTCTCCAGACAACATCTCTCAGGATTTCTATCACACATTTCCTAAATAGCCAGTAGAATTCTTTCTTTCACTCTTGGTATATTTCTCTACTAAGCCAGTTATCATCAGTTGCTTCTTTTCCCTCATTAAGGAGCTCCTTGAGTAATCTGTATGCTGAGAGAACTCTCATCACCTTTACCATCACTGGAGAGCTCTCCTTCTCAACTGAATTCAGAGTGAGTAGGAGGCTGAACTCTAAGTTAGAAAGGACTGATGATGGGCTGCTGTTCTTTGCTGTCTGTTGCTGCTGCTTCTGCTGTTATGTATTCATGATGCTGACAGATGAAGTTGTCATCTCAGAATAGTCAACTAACTCAGGATCTAAGAAGTCATCAGATGACATTGTCACTGATATATGTGAGTTCAGGTCTTTAGATTTTATAAGCAGAAAGAGAAGTAGTTTGGGGGCTGGAGGAAAGATGAGCTATTCAGATACTTCAGGCTCTGACTTGGACCAACTGGACTCTCAGAAGAGTCATCAGACTTCACCTTGAGTGGTAAGCCTAAAATATCAGAGATTATTGGTGGACCATGATACTGTATCATAGTCATTATACTGTGTGCACCAATGCTCTGAGTCATGTTTCTGCTTATTTCAGTAGTTAGAATGATCTGACCCAAGTAGATCTGATGTGATAAAGGTTTCTTGAGAATTTTCATTGCTGTTGAGGTCAAATTCTGAGGGGACTCTAGAGTCATACAGACTCTGAGTCTCAGAGATGGAGTTATAGATAGACTTTAGGGGTGAAGCCACTCTGAGGGCACTACTAAGGGAGTCTTGAGCACAGTCTCCAATTCTGTGTTTAGAGGGGGCAGTGAAAGAGTCAGAAGAGAGAATGGCATCAAGGATGTCATCAGGAAGATCTTTGATAAGTCTAGCTGGAACTAGAGAGAAGTGTGCCAGGATTCTATTGAAGTGGTGCCTCTGCTGCTCTAAAGAGAGGCTGTTTCATCAGAGTCAAGGCAGATATTGGAAGTTGCTAAGCAAGCCAGTTTCTTCTCTTTGCTCTTCATTAATAGCACCTGCAGATGGCTGGTTGGTTTTGGGTATAAGTTCTTGTGTGAGCTTATTGGTGGTTCCAGAAGTATTGACTGGAAGATCATAGAGGGAGTGAATGGGGGTGATATTTCATTGAATTCTGTAATATATATAGAGGGACTGATAATATCTGATTATCTAAGCAGTAATTGACTGGTTGCTATAATAGAGGAAGATAAGAATGAGAAGCCCAAGCAAGGTGCCAATGAGGGCACTCAAGAGCCTAAAGAAATTTGATGTGATGTTGAGGGTAGCAGACATTCAGCTTCCTTTACAGTCTAGCTGTATAAGAAAGAGAAAGATTGAAGCTTTAAGCTAATTGTTAGATCTGCTCAACACATGACTGTAACATGTGGTAAACTAGCACTGTATCATATTTGTACAATCATGCTAGAGTCCACTTATGTGTTTCTGAATCTATATATCAAGATGTTCCAATGATAAGCTCAAGAGGGAGAAGCAGTATAGATAAAAGTTTAGCTCAAAGCTGAGATATACTAGTGAGAGCTGTTCTACTTATATACATGTCTGGCATTGATAAATATAGTCCTAGTGCTATTATATCTCTCTGCATTGCAATGCTATAGTGTCTGGTCATTGGATATGAGGTGAATGGATATTGTTTGTTGTCAAGATGGCCTTGACCATTATTATCATGACTCACCTATTGTGTCCATCATCTCACATGGCAACTGTCCCATGATCCTCAGTGCCCAGTAATAAGATAGATGCCTGATAAGATAAGATAAGATATAAAAAAGATAGGAAAATTGTAACATCCATTGATTTTCTCTTTCCTTCTCAGTTTTCTGATCTGCCATTTATAGGTCACATTGACTCAGCTTGCAAATGAGGTGTTGGGCAATCATTCACTTCAGAACTTGATTTTCCTCATCAAGCAAGACTTTGAGTGCATCCAGATGGCTCACTCACTTGCTCTCCCATTCCAGAAGTACCTGACTATTCACTCTTTCACTGGGACTATCCATAGCAATCATAAGCATTGTGCAGCTCAGGCCATGGTTGCTGCACATGTGCAAGCTCATGCTGCTCAAGCACAAGCCTATGTGACTCTGGCTTCAGTTCCAGCTTCAGTTGTGGCTCCTTCTGCTCCTGTCCTCACTGTTGAAGTTCCAAGAGTAGGACCTCAAAAGCAGTGAGTAATAGGTCTCTGCCAGTGTTTATTCCTTCTAATTTGTTCTCTCTTTTGACTAGCCTACTAAGCACAGCTGCTGTCTCACCAAATCAAAGGCCATTGCCAAGAACACTTCAGATGAAGAAGCTAGCACTGTTGCTGCCATGGAAGAGGATACCATTATGGGTAATCTCAACATTCCAGCAAGTACACAACCAACTGACTTGGTGCCATTTTTCCTAGCTTGTATCAACTGCACTACTGATACTGTCTTGACTCACTTTTGACAGATGGTCATTGATGATGATGTCAAGATAGTCATCAATCAAGACCCATCTTCTGGCAACATCATTGAAGGGCACAAGGTCTCTCTCCCAAAGTTCATCAAGCACAAGAACAAGTCATACTTGGTGCATCACTATCCCTAATCTCTGCAATTTATGCTAAATAATATTCCTTGTTTTTGTAGAAGGCTAAGGAGCATCATCCAAAGATGATATTACTCCCCTGTGCTGCCATTCCAGACATAGACTTATCCTCACATCTCCATCAGCTCCTTCCATTCCTCCTCAGAGAACTTCATCTCGCAAACCTTGCATGGTGCCTCTGCTAGTACAGCTCAGGTAAACAAACATAAACTAATCTACCTCGGTAGCTCGTAAGGAAGGAAATAGAACGTAAAGTAAAGTAGCATAAAGTACAGCATAAGAAAAGAGTGATAAGCAAGTGTATATAGCTCAAGGGGCGTGATGTGAGACAGGAAAAACGGCAATTGTACCATGTTTGGCTTGTGTTTATTTGTGAAGAGGGCCGGCCAGACACTTGACTTATATTCCGCCAAATCTTTCCGGCTAGACGTATGCATGCAGTATGCCAGTAAGGGATATCCATATCAATACCCGACTATTTTTCGTTCCTGATAACCCACCAAGCAGGAAACGGCGGAGTGAGTCCGAGATAAAAGCGAGACACCGATTGGGGCCAATCAGGGCCATCGTTAAAAGAGAATTTGGACGAGACGAAGGAAGGACGTATAGTAAAGGAGGGGAACCTCTGCAGAGTCCATGATGCGCGACATCTCGATGATTAATGTTTTGATGGCTTGTTGGCGCAAGGCGCGATACAGGACATGATACGAAAACGTGATGGACCGCTTCCAGGGCGTCGTACCCTCTGTGACAGTTGGGGGAAACGTTCCCAAACGGTCAGATTCGGCTATGCAGGGTCAAGCTGGTCAGACCTTGCATAGAGCTATACCAGGGCAGAGAATGCTGAAGAAGCACGCAGATATGGATGTTCGGGAGGTGAATGTTGATCATATAAAGGTAACAGCATCGTCGAAGCCGGGTGGAAATCAGGGCTAGAATATGAACGAGAAATTAATATGGAGGACACATACTTCGAAATGTTTGTTTCGATATAGCCATCGTTTGGCGAATATAACATAAACAGGTCCATGGAAAACGTAAGTAAAGGAGCGAGAGGTGGCCTGACTTTAAACCATTGGGAATTAGAAGCAACCAGATCAGCAAATGAATTGACTTGGGAGGGAATTGAGAGGGAGTTGGTGTGAGCGGGGGTGTATGTGATGGTGGGAGGATGATGGGGCGGTGGAGAATGTTGAGGTAGATAAAGGAGCCAACGATATAGGGATCGGCCGGGAAGGTTGGACCATTGGTAAGGCGTACAGGGGGAGGAAAGGGCAGATGATATAATATGGCAAGAATTGAGATGATCAGTGTATAGCGTGGGTGAAGAGGGCAGAATCGGGGCGGGCGGGGGCACGTTGTATTGATGTATTGTTGAAACAATTAATCCATACGTTTCACCTCGATAGATCCATGCGCAAAGAGGCAGAGAGGAATGGACGAAGGAAACGGAGGGCGAGGCGAGATAATATTCTGAGCTGCTTGCATACGCAAGCGTTGGGGTTAGGCCAGGGACCAGAGAGGGTCGAAAGTATCGGACAGAGCCGCAAGATGCTGCAGCCATCTCGCAGTTTTGAGGCCATTGTTCCTGAGCATGGATTCAGTCGGAGAGTGCCAGCACGAGGATCTGGGTGAAATGTAGCAATGTCAGCAAGGTTAGTGAGGCTTGCATTGGAAAGGTTAGTTATGAATTGTGAAGGAAGTTGGAGCCGGGCCAAGGCCCTGGGGGGTCCCGGGCCGCTGTTCCGATCGTTCACCGCGGAAACAAAATTTCTTTTCCTTACCTTACCCACCATCATCATCCTACGCCGTATGGAGTCTCTGTTCCCATGCCTCCCTTCTTTTCGGAGCAGCATGGTAAACGCGTACCGGTGGCAGTCGCTTTGGTCAGCAGCAATTCAATGTGCTCACTCAGCAAGAACCCGCTCTACTATTTAAAATAGCCACGGGGCCAATCTTTGCCGGTATAAAAAGGCATATGCTATCTCTGTCGAGACTTGCACTTTTACCACGACAATGTACGTGCTTGTCGCTTCTGCATACCCACTTGAAGCTTATTGCTTTTATCCCTAGTGGCCTCACATTCGCGCTTACGAATTGCTACCATGTCGACGGACGCTACAACACCAATCTTTGACCCTAAGAACATGCCGTTCCGGAGGCTAGGGCCCAGTGGGCTGAGAGTGCCGTTGTTTTCTCTCGGCGGATGTTAGTGCTATACTTCTTCTTCTTGGCTGACGCGCTGACTAGTTACAGGGCTAACGTACGGAGGTACTGTTGTCGGTGACCCAGTCAAAGTACGCTCTCCTTCGACAGATACTGTAGTTTTCTTACTAATCTGATGATACATAGGAAATCATCAAGACGGCATTCGAGAATGGCATCAACATGTTCGACACCGCAGAGGCCTATGAGAAGGGCAAATCTGAAATAGAAATGTGAGCCCCTCCCATCTTCTCCTCTTTCATTCAACGCTGAATTGGATTTGTAGGGGTCGTGCCATTAAAGAGCTCGGATACTGCAGGTCGGATCTCGTGATATCGACGAAAATTTTCTTCGGGGTACGCTCTGGACATAACGGCTCTGGCCTGTCCAGGAAACAGTTCGTTCTCACTCGTTTTGTGCGAAGCGTCAATTGACCCGAGCTTCAGTATCATCGAGGGCACTCAAGAGAGTCTTGCTCGCCTTCAAATGGACTACGTTGACGTGATATTTGCTCATCGTCACGATGCTAATGGTGACTATTAGTCCACAGGCCAATTGTAATCCACTAATCCATATCCTCTTTCCTCTTAGTCCCGATGGAGGAAATTGTCCGGGCCTTCAACTTCGTGATTGACAAGGGTTGGGCCTTTTATTGGGGAACATCGGAATGGAGTGCGCGTGAAATAGAGGAAGCGTATCGTGTGTTATATCCTTCTTCTATCTTTTACTTTGTGTCTCACATCCATGCAGACATTGCTGATAGACTCGGCCTCCAGGGTCCCATAGCTGAGCAGTGCCAGCACCAGTATGTTCTTTCTTCATGCCGTCATACCCTTGCTAACTTGTTCCAAAGCATGCTTCATCGCGAACGACCAGAGAAGGAATACGCGTATGTTTTTTTAAAGGGTTCTTCTTGTCCACTACTAATTAATCACCGCAGCCCACTTTACAAGAAGTATGGTATCAGCACTACCACATGGTCATCTCTTGCCAGTGGACTTCTAACTGGGAAGGTGTGTTACTTTTTCTGACCTCCATCACATACTGAAAGGTCTCCAGTATAACAACGGAATTCCACCCGGTTCACGCTTCGATCTTAAAGCCGACTTTTTCAAGGATACCCGCGCCGCCCTGAACGCCCCTGAAGGACAAGAGAAGATTCGCAAAGTCAAAGAGCTCACCAAGATTGCTGAAGAGCTTGGAGCATCGACCGCGGCTCTGGCTCTTGCATGGGTAGCGAGGAACACGAATACAGGAACAGTTATTTTAGGAGCGTCGAAACCTGAACAACTGCTTGAGAACCTGAAGGCCCTGGAGGTACTGCCAAAGTTGACGGATGATGTATTGGTGAGGATCGAGGAAGTGCTGAACAACAAGCCGGCGCCATTGGTGGGTTTGATTTCTATCGTGCTCTCGGACGCTGAAGATGCTGACGTGCTTTCTGTAGCCCACGTACAGCAGACTGCCTTTGGATGCCTTGGTGAAGAACCGCTTTTGAATGCAAGGAGTGATAGTTTTTGTACGTTACTTGTCATTACTGACATCAGTTTGATATTGATACAGGCAATAGGCTTGTAAGCTGTACAGACATTAGTTCGACTATTTCATAGGTCAGCATGATCTTTCTCTTTCTATGTCCCTCTGAAGCCTTATCTTTATTCTTCAGTATAGGCAATGTATGAAACCGAATGGCATGTCGTTCTGTGGATGCGTGGAGTGCTGCCATCGCCGAGTATAGCCATTTTCCGCTCCTTTTGATCTTTTCTCTGGAAAGGAGGGGATGCACAGCGCCCTAGAAGTTATTAGGCCTGATGAAAGTAAGCCGTTGCCTGGCCCAGCCAACGGTAAGTCGTGCCTGTTACCTCAAAGGCCACCAACATGTTAAGGAAATGTATACCGTGTCAACTTACTTCTTGGTGATGACACACTCTAATCCTGCACAAGTTCATACTCTGCTGGTTTTGATTTTCACATTTTCAGCTCATTGGCGTTCATTGCCAAAAGGGGACGTCTTTCTCTGACGACGATTTCTTTTCGTCTTTCGGTGTTTCCGTGCCGTTTTGAGCGGCTATCACTCTACTTACCGGTCCCTTTTCTGTGCAGCCGCTCTTTTCCTGTCATACAAAGAAACCGGTGGCTGAACATGCATACGTGGGCTCTCCAATTGTTCGGGTCCGCGTTCCAACTTGCTTGCGGCAAAGACTGATGTTTCCTGTCCAAGTGACAGTCATACTTCGTTGATGAGAATGCAGACCGTGATTCCCTTGATGGTTAGAATGAATCATGTCTCCTTCACTTCTTTGTGGGGCCAAGCGCTGTGTCCTTTTTTCGGCTATCTTTCATCGGTATGTGAGTCCTTCGCTTTTACGTCTTCTTACCCTCCATCTTACACACCCATCTGGCTAATCCTAGACCTATATTCAGCGTTTATCAGATCTGCGTGTCTTCAAAATGCCAAAACGTGCTGAATCAGTAACTTCCCGATATATACGCCTAGGCTTGGATGGCTAGACAAGGCGCATGTTTTTTGGACTTGACAGGGGAGGCGCGTCGTTGGTGTACACGAGGCAAGATTCCTTCAATCTGACTCACCGTCAGGGTTAGGGCAACGCGTTTGAGTCATATAAATACCCATTCTTTTTCGACTATTGGGCTCCAGTTTCGAGCTACTTACCCGGTTCGCGTCTTACTTCCCCTCTCTATCGCACTGTCGCACGTCTTTATCAATTATCATCATGTGCTTCATCAGCTACACCTCCAACCGCTACAAGCTCTGCGGAAAGCTCATCTCATCCTCGAAGCAGATCACGCGCTGCAGAGAGTACACCACTTGGATGAAGGCCGTCGGGGCTGGGATGGCATCCATCACTGAGGTCCCCTATCATTGCGACCCACGCGTCATTCCGCCCCACAACAATCCCCTCTTCGCACCCGGGAGGTGCAGACCCGATTGCCCATATGGCAGGACTTGCCCTCGTGCTGATCAGTGAGTCTAATCTTCGGTGTTCGGTGTTCCTTGATTCTCACTGACGCCTGCGGAGCAGTTAAAGTTGGCTATGTTTTGCATGCGCTGGGTGTTTGCTGGCTGGTCTCCTTGTATCCTACGCGGTTTTTTTTGATTTTGATTTTGATTTTGATAATCATCGCCTCTACTCTGACCTGCATTCTCGAGTTATTAAAATAACTAAAACGGCTCACTTATACATACTGCCTAACGTACCACGCTACTTACTAATATCTCGTTCTAATGTTGAATTGCCATCTGGCCCTCGAGCAATATAAAGTTTGAAATTTCTCTGGAGATTGACTGCAGCTGCTACAGCCAGATCAAGTTCATGTTCACAAGCCCATCGTACCCTGCGCCGCATTTCTGACATACCATTTGCCTTACCACACCAACGTTGTCTGCGGTCAAGGCTGTTGTCTACGTCTCGGGTCCACGACGGAGATGTCCGCGATGTTATCCAACCCTCTGCCCATAGCATGAACCTTACAGCGTGTTATTTTATCCAACCAGTACCAGTAGCTGCAAGTATACGTGCGATGAATCAGAAACCGTCAATCTTTCGGGGTCAATCGGCGTTTTGAAGAACAGCACCGTAATCGGGTCGCCACTTATTCAATCACGGAGTATTCACGGCGACTTCAATGTTCAGGCGTGCCTAGGATTTTTATACACGGAGCGTCATGTAAGGATCGGGTAAACCAACATCGTGCTTTAGTGGGACATGAGAAGAAAATGCTCAAGATTGAAATTTTATCGCAGAATCCTCGGCCGATATCGGCGTGCTACCATCGCATTCCATCATGATATTTCGTCGGTCATCCTCATGGAAAACGGTCAAAACATATCCAGGCACGCATGATAATAGTATATCTTTGGCTCTATAGGCCATGATAGGCCTGAGCCGACATGACATTGCTACTGTTTCTCTAACTCTCCGTTACAGTTTCTAAGCTCCTGGGCCCTTTAGGTTAGCGAACGTAAAATTTGTCGTACCAAAGGGGGAGGGGAGGGCAACCACTATTTTTGCCATATTACGACTTACTTCAGGACAAGGACGCACATATTCGATTGAAGTGCACTCCAAGACTTCAAGTCGTCCAGCGCCTCAAGAAAGAAGTAAAACAAGCGATCTGAGAGTCGTAAAAGATGGGGCTCTGGAAACGACTCGGAGGAACATTTTCCATGACCAATCCGTAATCAAGGTGGCAGAGGAACCGTCCGAGTAATCGACGACGACACTGGCAATGAGACCAGCGGGTCCTAGAGCATTGATAGTGATTACGGGGATGACACTGGCTGCCTTTTGGTGCAGAGTAGCGGTGTACACTTGAGAGGCTTGCAAGCCAAATCTTACCAGCAATCTGCTTAACAGGTCCAGCAAACCACTTTCTCGCACTGAGGAACCAGTACCCGAAACTATAGGTAATAACGATGCCAACTGCCACAATGGAGTAATCAAAGGTTTGCAAATCCACGGGCTGTTCCAACAGGAAATGAGCGTGATATTCCTTATTTCCGACGGGATATTGACACGTACGTTTACTTGAGGAAGGATGAAAGCAATGGAGATGAACATGATCCATAGCACCGCAGCCATCGCCACCGGGTATGAGAATGAGCCAAGATGGAATGGACCTCGGACGAAGTTTTCTCGGTTTATGACACGAAGTGCGACGCGTACATCTGCACCGATTGATCATGGAAGCGCTAACAATCGGAAATATAAAACACGCTTACTGTGAGAGATATACAGGCCAATCGTAGCGATAGATGTAGCCGCTGAGAACGCGACTGTGCTGGCTAAACTAAGCAGGCCCGGAATGAAACTCAAGGTACTAGCAAGCCATACTAAGGAAGGATAAGCGATAAGAGCTACGTTTATAGCACAGGCACGTTCGTATGGGCGACTTCCATTTAGAGCTGATGACCGCGAAGAACTTGGATCTCAGAATACCACCGATACTTCCTGACATGGCAGCGTTGCGCGTCTCTTCCGTCATCTGTGGTTAATGAGAGGCATCGCGGGGTGCGAAGAACTCAAATCAAATGCACGTGAGTACTAGCATCGAATCTTGCGAAAACGGTCAGGGTGAGTATATAGGAAACGACGAACATTGCACACCTGTGAGAGTGTACTGGTAACATACGGGGACACATCAACATATGAACAAGGTTATCCTCGGGAAACTTACTTGTGCCATAAGAGTCTACGCGATGTGCGTCAATCGTGAAATGTTTGAAAGCATTTTAGGGGATATACACCAATAACCACGACGTAGGCATGACTAGCTCTTTCACCCCATCCATCTGTACCATCGATAAAGTGGGAAAAGACGAATTTGGCTGACTGGTGCGTTGGAGCCTTCGCGAGAATGGCGATCACCAGAGAAAAGGTTCCAAGGGCGGGTCACCACACGGAAACGTTATTCAGGTAATGCAGAATGTGTACGCCGAACGTGTTGATCAAGCCTACATGCCCATCAAACGGAGACCAGATTAAACGAAGGGAGTTTTGCTGACCCTGTACGACCAAAGCAGCTGCCCAGACACCAATCTGAGTTCGCGAAGTAGGTACAAAGTCGGTCTTGAGCGTGCACACTGTGGACAAAAAGCTGGCACAAGCGAAACTGATACCGGTGGTGATGGCGAATTGACCCAGTAGATTGAGCCAGCCTACGTGTACCGCATATCCATGACGACATGACAGAGTATTGTAGTTTTGAAAGCATGGCCGCCCAGAATAAGGTCCCCCTGATGTTGGATGCGCACTAGATGATGAAAGCGATTTAACCTGCAGACCTTTGCCAGCGTGTTAGCAGGAGTATCAGAGACAGAGAATTGTGGCGTACCAGTCATGGATAGCCCCACGAAGCAATGTTATCTCTCAGCACAGCCAGGGGGCGAGCCCGCACCATTGAATGGCTTACCGGCTGTTCAGGTGTAAAGCCTGCTCATCTTGGGAAATATTGTCCAGGACTTTCGAACAAAGTGGATCAGGGAAATAGGTTATGGTACCAAATTTCCATCGATAGCACACGAAGAGTCACGACCAATGGACGCTAGCTGCAAGAAGTACAACTCCAGGTAGAAACACAGATGAAGAGCGTAGTGCGTCTCTTCGGAGTTGTATGTGAAGATTGCCATGGGATTTGAGTGACGCTGACTGGCCTCATACTTTGATAGTTGTCACGAGCTTTCAAGTTGACGGAATGCCCTCGGAAGCCACTTATATACACAACCTGTAGCTTTCTCTGCGACGGCGGGCAGATAAGAATCAGCTGTGGCCCAGCACGTCATCTGTAATATATGGAAACCAGATGCATTGATAGCCCTTTCATATTTTCCCTTGGACGATGTGCTCCTCACAATACATACTCAAAGCTCAGCTGACAGGCCCCACAATATGAGACTCGCATAGATACAATCGAATAGTATACATAACATTGAATGCACCCAAGTACGTGCTAGAAATCAATAGTATCAGAGACAGCAGTATGGTTCCTGCGCTGGATGAAGACCATCAGTACAAAGATACAGGGGGATGAGATGCATCCGGAATGGATGGTATAGAGCAGACAATTTCGCATTATCATCGAGGTCACCAGCATGCGAAGAAGACGCCAAGTCTGTGGTTGATAAGCCATTGCTGGAGGATGGAGAAAGAAATAGAGGCTTGTTTTCATCTGTAGCTGATGATCCATTGCTGGGAGATGGAGAAAGAAGTGAGGGCTTATTTTCATCTGCTATCGTATCTGTAGCAAATGTGGACGCAATGGCAGAAACAGCCTTCAAAGCCCTCTTACTGATAATGTCGAGCGAAATGGACACATACAGTGCTAGCACTCCCATGCAAGAGGTCATTTCGCAGTGGTTTACACCGAATGTTGCCGATGTTAAAAGAGTTTGTTTTTTTAGGTGTATCTTGGGTATCCTTCTCAATATAGGCTATCGACACTCTACTCGAGAAAGAACACATGGAGCGGGTTCAGGGTACGAGAGTCAGTTTGGCAGTATGTGACCGGACCAATGAACTTATACATTTCTTCTAATTTCATTACTTACATGTGCCACATGGCCAAAGTTAGTAGGCTTAGCACAGTTAGTTTAAGAACGCATCGATTTGAAGAGGCCGGGTCCATAGACTTACACGAAATCGTCCTACATACACCAAGGTCAAAGGATGTCACTGCGCGTCCAAGGGGAAAAAATTAGAGATGAGGGCGATAGAAATACAATGTACACGTCCATATTATATTACACATAACGAGGAGGAAACTTTTTCTCCCTCTCTGCGGCATCCGCTACGCGCTTTTCCTCCAAGTCGCGCTGGATGCGCCGATCTGCAAGTTTCTAGAAGAAGCAAACATCAGCTTTTTTTCTCGTAAATGGAAGAAGTACTCCGTACATTCTTTGCCACCAAGATGGTTGACATGAGTGAATCCAGAGTGGCTTCAGATAATTCAGACATCTAGGAAACAATCAGAGAGGTAAAGTCCAAATTGGCGCAGTGAACGTACAGCATCGCCTGCCTGTCGGCTGAGCTCTCGGAGACGCTCCTTGTCCACAGATGAGGGAGGCTCAGTGTATGCCTGTCTCTCCATTGTATATGCCTGTCCCTCTGCTACTGGAGGGTGCGCAGGAGGAGGAGGAGCGGGAGGAGGAGCCGCATCACGGTCCAGGTCGTCACTGCGCGGCTTTTGATTCTGTCCATCGGACCGACCATGCCATCCATGGCCCCACGGCCCATATCCTCTTCGTTCGTATCCCTCCGTGTACTCCGTCCTTCCACAGAACCCAGGCTGATTCCTGTGGTGGTGGCTCCAGATGGTAGCTGTACCCGCGCCAATGAGGAACCAGAAGAAACCGCCCATGATTGATATGTATGAGAGTTCAAGTTGAAAGTGTTGAGATGAGGTGCTTGATGGGCATAAAGAGCTAGGATGCCATTATTTAAATGGCGAAACGGATGACGCGAATCGACTCGGCCGCAGACGACATCGACGTATTCGAATAATCGGCAGATGACGCACGGCCCGCGGCCGGCATACTTTGTCGAGTTGCCGCGGCACGCAGCAGTGACGAACCAGCTCCTTGATATTTTTACCGCAATGGACAATGGACGACACGCCTACGGACCTGAAAGTACCTGCAGTCAATCATGGTCAATGGAACGTTATCTTATTGGACTCCAAGTGGGATCAGTGCCAGGGGATCGAGAAACTACGTTATTGAAACATGTGGTGAGAATCGCAGAAGAGAGAGCGAAGAACACAAATATAATCTAGAAGAGATAAGAGTTCAGATACTGAATGAAAGTAACATATTAATAACTTACTCAAAACACGGTGAACAAAATGCGGAGCGATTGCCTAAACAGAGTTAAATCTCTGCCTGACGTCATTCGTCTGGCGGTGGCCGAGGTGAAGCCTGTACACGGAAAATCCCGTCACAACAAATGTCACGGTCAAATTACCACTGCCGGCTCGGTCTGGAAATTGTAGTATGATATGGTCAAGAGGACTCTGAAACTGTCATGCTCTGTATTGTTGAAATCGCATGAAATCAATGTATTTCTTGTTTCTCACACATCAATATCCCTCAAGCCATAAGCCCTGAAATTTACATTTTAACTCCTATAATATTCTCATGCTATCTGTCCAGCAGTACTGGTGTAAATCTGGAGGTAGCCGGACCAATTTCGGTCAGTTTTTGCTGCGTTGCAAGGTTTCTTCTAAACCGATTGGAAAAATTACTCTGTGCTATCACTCATGTATTCATTCATGTATTACAAAATGGAGAAGCCAACAAATGGCCAGAACATGCTGCAAACCAACAGTTGCACCGAATCGCGATGACAGTATCCAGCACTAATGATTTACTCATGACTTAAAACAGTTGCAACATGTCGCCAAATAATATCATGTGTACAGGAAATCCTTAGTGCTTTGTTGAAAGAAAAGTTATAAACTTGAAGTTGTCATGAATCCCACGTTCAACATGCAGGAAACCGCTTTTCGTGGCCTTTGGAATGCTCAGCATAAATCGGAGATGGAAAACTGCATCCAAAAGCGATAGTACGGCCACAGATGCTGTCTGTCGTCCATCTGTAACAGTCGACAACTAGCATGTCGAAAACTTAGGGCATGAAAGATAAGATAATCTGAAGTCGATGCTCTTCTCGACCGACAGGTACAAATTCTTAGCAGACAAAGAAGAGGAATAGCCGAAAGAGTTTGGCAGAAGGGAATGTTTCTATGCAACATATGCTAAGGTGTCCCCTATCCGCTTGATGTATTCTTTCTTGAGAAGAATACCAATAGCCTGATTAAGTAACGGTGAAATCTAGACGAAACCTTTCGGACGATAGGAACTTGGGGAGTGAATCGCTGAGAGATCTGCTCAACGACCTCCCGAATCAGTTATTGGTTTGTCATCAACTTCCGGGCCTTCATGATCCTCGAAATAGGATCGGGTTCCAAAACCATGACATAAAGTAGTAAATATACCGGACGATGATAACCTGGAGGATATGCTTCCGATCCTTGTATACAGTCTCATCACATCTGTTTGGCCCTCGGCTTTGATAAGTTGATTAACATTGATTCGAATCTTCGACTTGAAGTCTAGAAACTGTTGGAAATCCTCGGTGTTGCGCAGGGTAGACTCCAGGCTGGTAAGGCCAGAAGGTATGAACTCCTTATTCTGCAGCTCCTACAGAGCTCGTATTTATACTCTCCAGGCTTGTATCTAGAATTTACTACAACTTTCTCTTTCTCTCGGGCTTACTCGTCAACTCCCGGCATGATGCCAGATTGCCCTTTCTAGAACTTTCCAGCAAAATCCCAACAGAAACTCCAATTAGCCAACGACAGCAAACCCAACACAGACTCACTGGAATTAAGACCATACTACTCAGACTTTTCATTGACGAGAATCCTTGCCTTGGCAAGGATTGCAAGGACCTGAATAACGATTTCCTTAGGAATTGAAGTTGCCATGACAAGCTCAGAGACAGAAAGCAGGGTGTGATTATTGTACAGGACCAGGATAGCCATCTGATACGAGCTTGTGATCAAAATGTACCTCTGATCAAGGTAGTTCACTCGAAGCTCGTTCCTCGAGTAAGTCCACAGCCAAGTCAGCTTCCGACGCGAATACTTCGTCCGGTAATACTTTTGGAAATGTTCATATGTGGGATACGTCTCCTTCGGGATGGTGAATCCATGCGATGACCGACTTAATGGCCAAGCATTCGAACCAAGGACCATGACGCTAAATGACACGTCCTTGAACTGCTCTGTTAGATCCTTACTCACCTTCGCGTCTGTATATGAGGTATCAGCAATATACAGATAATTGAATATTGTTGAGGACATACCCATGGACATCTGCCGCAACTTGCTCGTATATTCAGATCCACATGCGTTTCTGAGCTTGGAGATCATGCTGGTTTCCCTTTCGTCTGAAGCTGACAAGCCGTATATGATACGTTTCGATAGCCTCGCAGCATAAAAAAAGTTCAAGAAGATGTCTTTATCTTCTAGGTAGTTCAGGGAGAAATCAAACATGCCAATTCATCCAAGCATCTCTCTACATCCATTTCTTCTGTCGAGTTCTGTCGGAGTAACTGATCTGCATATTTGACCAGCAAAACTGGTGATTTACTGCTCGTAGTCTCCGTCACAGCATTTCGGTTTACAAAAATGGTACAGATTACGCAAACTGCCGATAAATCCAATGTCTCCGTAGAGACACTGTGTCATAATTTTCGAATACTTTGTGTGGACCTCCAACAACGCGTCAAGATACCGCTTTGGATCCGGCTCTGAATCCGTTGCTACAAGTCTGGGTCCGGCATCGAGGACAGCCTTCTTGCCCTGCCACTCGAATTTCTTCCTGAGAAGGTCCTGCCCCTGTGTGCGCGATAACGAGGCAGGAAAGTTCTCTTCTCTAGTAAATTCGGGTATCTTGAAAACTCATGTATATGGCATGGAAGTACGGTGCCCAAAAAATTTCTTCGAGCATGGGAATGAGGCTGGCCCGCGTTTTTGGAACCAGACCGTACTGTTCTATGCGATTTTTCTCTTCGTTCAGTCGATCCTGCACCTTCTTGAAATAGCTGAAGTTCGATTCCCTAGCTGCCGCCAAGAAGGTCTCCGCTTCTCCCTTGTAATACATCTCTGTGGCAACGAAGAAGGGCGCTTCAAAGTCATTTTCATAGATGTCGAGACATTCTTCATCGAGGTTTCGCGTCATTTACTCCAAGCTTTAAGGAGTCGACGATATTTTTGACAAGCTCTTCGTCAGTGACTTGTCCGTTTCGCTCCGTTCGATGGCGAGCAACAGAGCATCGACTAGCCTACTTTTCTGATTTATCGGGTCAAGTACTTTGGCCTTCCATTGTACCAAAGCAAGCTGCTGCCACTGAGACGAGATCAGAAATATACGTGAAGACGACGCACGATGTACACAGGATAAAACCTTATTCTTCCCTCATCTCATTCTCTTTTGACTCAGTATCGATTGAGATGTGAAAATACCTTCCGGTCCATGAAGCGAACGCGTATTTCGTATCGACGCCATTCGGTGCCATAGTACCTCAACAACTCTTCCCCTTGTAGGCTACCGACCGTTAGGAGACAAAGCAGGCAATGTACATTCCAAATGGTTTTGAGACGCACCCGTAAGTATTTACGGAATTTGTCATAAAGGCCTGATGAAGAGCCACGAAACCTGTCATTTGACGACATGTAATAATTAAATACAGCCGCATTAAGCAACGCTGTCTGCAGATATGATCATGAGTCACAGAAAATAGAACATCAGTCGAGCATACATATTGTACTGGAACTTCATCCTTCAGCGACTCGGATACCATGATAGCATCGAGTCCTTCTTCCAGAAAGGCCCAAACTGTTGCCAGATCTGATGTGCGGGAAGGAAGGGAAGGGAAAGAGTTAGAAGACGCCATTACTGTGGCTGGAGATGGGCGTCAGTGGGATAAGCACGTAGTTATCTAATGAATGTGCAACGCCGGTGCCGTAGATATCGGACCGATTTCTCTGATAGCTCTGATTGATTCAGAAAAAAAACCAGAAATGCAGAACAGGGCATACGAAATCACAATCGTTCTCAGACTTGCGAGACTCGCCCCGCATGAGCATATCATGAATGAAGTATATTCCGTTAGAGCGTGAGTACATTGCTTTCTACAACCAGATGAGAGTAAGGTAGCATCCTCGAGAGTACGAAGATATACTGCTATCCAGGGCACGACTTGAGCACCCGCTTTCAAGAGATGGACAGATATCGCTGGTGCATGCTAGCGTCAGGAATCCGACTGGAAATAGCTCGTACACCAAGTCGGGGCACAGCCTATGCAGTGCATCCATCCCCGTTGTCAACGATAAATGTTAGACGTAGCGAGGGGGAAACTTGTTCGCTTCCGATGCCCGTTTCTCCTCCTGTTCCCGCTGAGCACGACGTTCTGCCAATTTCTACAAGCCGATGAGTCCAGAGCCAGGTCTCGAAGAATGGAATTGCCGACACACATTCTTAGCTGCGATGATAATCGCCATGAGAGAATCGAGTGTAGCTTCAGACAACTCAGACATCTAGGAGGTGAAAGTTAGGGTATTGTGATGTGTCAGAAACTAGTAACATACTGCTTCGTCTGCTTGCTTGCTGAGCTCCCGAATACGCTCCAGGGAGGGCTGTTCTTCCTGCTGAGGTGGTAGAGGCGGGGGCGGCGTAACTTCCGGTCGCTCTCGTTGCCGTTGAGGCACCTCCAAGCCAAACCTTTGCTGACCCTCTAACCGCACGCCGGCTCCATACGCATACCGTCGTTCCCTCTCTTCGCCCTCTGGCACCTTTTCATCGGATTCGAAAGGTGCGTTCTGACGCACCCATCCACGTTCATAATACCCATTCGGGTTCGCAGCGTAATACCCAGCCTGTATGCGACCGTTGCAGTAGATGGTGGCTGCAGCCGCACCAGCGACAAACCATAGAAAGCCACCCATTGATCCTGTTGGTGGGATGGTGGTGGTTACTGGTCAACGTCGAGATCGGCAAATCTGGATGACGTACATTTTCGGGCCTTAACTCGGAGGCAATTCCAGTCGTTCGGCGTATGCAGGAGCCCATACCTATAAATTTCTAGTTTTCCTATGAGCACAAGGCGCTATGGTGTAGTGGCAGCACATGGGATTCTGATGTTCCTCCGCCAGTCTTCCCATAACCCAGGTTCGAACCCTGGTAGTGCCTGGTACTAGTCTGTCTGAATTGCTCACTTTTGTCGCTGATTGGAGGGACGGGATTGTGAGGAAGTCCGAAGCGTACAATCAGAATTACTTTATTTAAAGAGTGCCTAGGGGTATCCCTTTCACCAGCCTTACTCATAGTGTGCTGGGTTATATTGCAGGGAGATGTTCTGAATCGTAGACGAACTCGTGAACAGCTATGCAGTTGCGAAAGACCCTCAATAGTTTACCGCCACGTCTACATAGCAAGCTAGCCGCAAGTGTGGGTGTAACTTCTTGAAGATCATGTAAAATAAAAGCAACCACCCTCGGGCCTGGAAAGACAAACTTGATATATAAATTTCCACAAGGGGCAAGCGACGAAGGCCTTGGCATCTCTGCTGTGATTGTGACCTGCAATGGTGAAAAAAGGTATGTATAGACGTTCTAAAACCGTCTGTCTAGGAGGCTTTATAGAAAACTGGTCTTTATTTGTGTTGCTTTTAGACAGCAATAGAAGAAACATGTTCCTGTTCTTAGATTCGCACTCGATAACTGACTGGCTCTACCGTTAACGCCCCATCACCTTAGTTTTGAAGGTGCGACCCAAAGAATTCCGCTATCCGCACTCGTCAATCTTGGTGCTCATCGAAAGGTATTTTACCACTCACTCAAGGACAGCGCCGAACGCTTGTACGTTCGCTCTAGTGTCGTGTAATTGACGTGCTGTATACCGAATCTACGGTTGCGCTAAGACCAGAATTTCCTGAACCAGGGACAACGAGTACGTACTTGACGGACGTCCCACTAGCCCATTCGGCATTGTCAAGCATTGCTACAAGGAGTTAGCAGCGAGTTTTAGCGTTTTGTTTTCATAGGACTAACCCCAAGAGAAAGCGCCCTGTATCGGAACTCCATCATCGTGTATAGATAGCAACATCTCACCGAGGTACGTAAGAAAGTAGTCTAGAAACATTGATGAATCTCCAATTATCCTGCAATGAAACTATAGACTCACTCGTTCGGTCCACGTCTTCCTTTATTTGCGACGGGTCCGTTATCTCATTTTCAAAGGGTTCCGCAAAGCCAAACTCGGAAACATACTGCCCAACCGCGGTCAGAAATAACCTTTAGAAACTCCTCCTACTGACCAATTTATTACTCGGCCATCGAGTATGGATGCCTTGCAGTAAGCTCCGAATGGCCACGGGTGTTGCTTGGAGCCAGGAGGCCATTGGGTCAGCACCAGGACCTGTGGCCCAGCCGAAATCCGAATCATAGAATACAATTTCGTTGCAGACGGGCCACAGGGGATCGGAAGAATTTGCCACGCAAGCATCGATTCCTTCGTCCGGAGCCTTCACCCATTGAGAGCGATAAGCATCAATAGCGTAGAAATCGGCAGAGCCAAGGATATCACTCTTCTCCTGGTCGGTGAAGCGCGGGAGATACTCGGCCGGGAGGGTGTCTTTGACAATGTCGGGCCAATCACCTGTTGTGTATACAGGGTTTGAGAAGATACCTATTTGGAAGGCTGCATGACGTTCGACCGCAAGGGCATCCTCGCTTGAGTTGCTTCTCCATGGTGTGCCTCTGGAGGAAGCACAAGCCGCGTAAGTGCTAGTCTAAGCTGTGGGAGAAGGGTCATATTTACATGAAATCGTCATTTTTGAAGGCTATCTCTCCCGATATGTTCATTGCGCGAAAGGCTGAAAACGAAAGCAATGAATGAGAGAAGCTTTACAGCGAAATTTCAACGGACCTTTAACGGCTCCTGCGTGGGCCTTTACTATGATAGGATATGAGGCGTCGAAGGATAAGAGAAAAAAGAATGTAGAACATACATAGATTGTATGTACACTGGTAAGGGGCGGAAGACGAGTTTACACCAGGGGCGAGCGTAGTATCTGTTGTCAATGGAAAGTTTTGCAGGTAAACTTTGATGTACAGAATGCTTACTGAAAGGATAGGACCCGACTTGGGCACAAAAAACACGGGGTTCATTGAAAGTATACCTGAAGCAGTTGAGGCTATTACGGCAACAGGGCATAACTGACACCAACCAAGTTTTAACACGACCGTTGTATGCGTTGAATACGGTCTTGGCATAGCTGAAAATCGCATACGTACACGAACTGTTGTATCCTGCTAGTACTCACTTTACAAAGTCGTCGACTATTTGCGGTGATGTAAAAGCCCCGTAGTAAGCCTGAAGGGCGAGAGGCGTATCCCAATGGACTATATCTCTGGTGGTAAACATGGCTATATTAAATAGTAACGGACAAATCTCACACAATGTTACGACAGGCTCCAGATTATTCGCCCAATGGTAATTAATGACTGCAGCGAAAACGATCAGCATCATTGACGATACTTTTATGATAAGATCATACCATCGGAATAGTGATCAATGCCAGCGGTGTTAACGGGAGAACCAGCGGCGCCAAACGGGTAGATCCTCGCCCACGAGATGCTACGGAACATTTGTTAAGAGAAGTGGCGTCAGCTGGACTCCAACACCTACGAGAAAGAATGCGCAGTCACACCAAGAGCAACGGTGCGTTGAACGTCTTCTTTGTAGAGGAAGTAGTGAAGATCGACGACATCCCCTGAAATAATCTCAATCGCATGATTAACAAATACCGTGCATATTCACCAGTTGTGTTGTCCGCTACACCGCCCGGTTGTCTGGAAGCCCAGTCCCACATTGTCGGACCCTTGCCTTCATTCTTTGTGGCGCCCTCGACTTGGTACGCGGCCGTGTCGACTCCGAATATGAATCCATTGGGGAATTTCAAGTCTGGTAAGACATCCTTCGGCGCAGGAGCGTAGAAGGATGGATACAAAGGCGGGGGAGAGGGCGGCAGGGTGACCGCTGCGGTGGGAACGCGGGTGGTGGTGAACGGAGGCGGCTCGACAGGTCCGATCTGCAGATCAGTGATGAATGCCACGTTCTAGGACGATCAGCGAGACCACGAACGAGGTCCCAAAGTTGTTCCAGTCCTTCCGGTGTGTAATCACGGGCAATCGATCCGATTGGAGGAAAGCTAGCAGTGGCCGTGGGGATACTTGTGGGACCCAGTGTACTGGTAATGCTGAATGATACTGAAGCGCTCGTTCCCGTAGCTGACTGTGCGAGTACTACAGAAATTCCGCCCCACCTTTTGGCAAAGGCGAAAGAGAACAACAGGACTTCGATGAGCATCTTGGGGACTAGAGAATCGATGAGTAGCGTCTATTGTTGTACTGTATATATAGGCCCTTCGTGCACATATCAAGCTGAGAAGAAAAATGTAGTCATGTGTTTACTTAGCTACCGGTCGTTCGGAGAAATACATCGGGCTCAGATGACTTGCGAAACGATCCGATAGTAGGAAATAGAAGCTTGCGACATCGACCTTTGTTCACGGGGAGAAACCACGAACACAGATGTAGGACAAATATACCACAACCGCTATCAATGAGATTACGTGCTATGTTGAGCACGGGTATTAAAGTTACTCATGGTGCCGCTATATCCAATAAGTCAACCCTAGCAGGTAATAGTATATGTGTCATAGATAGGTCGAAGAGTAGAGACAAAAATACTCATTCTTCCGAATCCATAAATACCTGGTATTGCCGAAGAATACCGAGGATCCACCGCCATGTAAATATGTGAGCTACTCACTAAAACCAACTCGAGGCTACCGCACAGTCGGATGATATAGAAGATGCCTGCAGAAAAGGTTGTTGACGCTGTATAGTCGAACTTGCGCGACCGCATGCACAGGCTCCGGGAAATCTCCGCGGTGAATATTTGAGACTCTGGGATGGTCGAACCGAACGTTCTTTTGCTCTGCGACTTGGAAAAAGAGAAAGTTCGACGCAGAAACTTCCGTATGCAGCTTCCAGAGGGTCATCTAGAAGTCATAGAGCTTTATCGACATATTTTGGACTTCACTGGATGAAAATTTGAAGGTCACTGGTAAGTTCCAACGTTGGATGTTTTCCTGGAACAGAATAAGTTTGGACAAAACCTTAACCCCAATCTCAATACGGTCACATGTCCGAGATGCTTACCAAGCCACGCGCTTCTGACCCACTTCTTGCCTTCCTACCATCACCTACGATTAGATCGTAGTGCTTTTCTGCATTTTATCCTCCCACCGGTAGACTTACCAACAATTCATTGTCAGAACTGTAGCAGAATTGGTTTGGGCAATCCAAATTCCAAAGCACTCACTCTGGATAAAGGTATGCATTTTTCATCAGAACGTTCTATCGTCTACTGATGGGACTCATAGTGAATATGTCTATGTGACTATGCCTACTTCGCAGCACCGTGGTGTCTCAGTCACTAGTGTTTATCTGGAGAAAACCTGGCATTTCAGTTAGCGGTACGTCTATGTTGTTTCAACAATCCTTCAACGGTAGACGACGGCCGCCTTCAGGCTCTATTACGAAGCGGCACGACGGATTGAGTCTTGGGGCCCTCCTATGAACAGTAGAAGCAGTACTCGCTGTGATGTAGGCCCTTCCCAAGGCTGGAGAGAGAGCAAAGCTATACTGGATATGCCCACTTTTACTACGCTTCAGCGAATTTCCCTCGTGGCATTGAGTCAAAACGTAACATCTAGCTGGTCCGTGTCAGCATCACGTAAACGAATTTGCGGCAATCTAGGGCTAGTTGCTCTATAGCTATTCAACTCTGTTGATCGGCGAAGCGCGGTAGCCGGGTTTCAAAGGCTGAGTTCGATTCTCAGCTAGAGATCGCAGCGCGCGCCCTCCTGAAAATGGGAAGGTGGGCGCTGTGAATTTTTGGCTTCCCCTTCCTTACCATTGTCTATGTGCAGCGTATTTTTTACTCTAGCCTCCGACCGCTTGATATCCACCTAACACCGATTCTGACCTATAACTGGGCGGAATACGCATACTGAAAAGTGCAAGAAATTGTGAGAAGACAGACCGCAAGGATACCAACGTCCTTGATGACCTCGTAGTTTGTAGATTTATCCGTTGGGAATATATATATATACTGAACCACCGTGACAGCTTCAGGTTCAAGACGGCCATTTTATCTCTTTTTGTGGTGTAGTGGCCAATGCCCTCGGTTGGGAGGTTCCGTCGACTTCCTCCGCTTTTTCCTTTGTTTTTGGATTTCCTTGAAGTCCAGAATCCGGATACAAATATCTTTCCGACGAAGCTAATATTAACACGGTCACATGCTTGAGATGCTTACCAACACACGCGCCTCTGTAATTGCCATTCCCACTTCTTGCCCTTTTACCACCATCTACGACTAGCTCGTAGTACTTCTCTCCATTTGCTCCCATATATTTCTGCATATTTGCACCCTCTATATCTTCTGTCACCATGTCTCCTTGCAATCATGCTGTCTCAAGGACGACTATAGAGGTCAGTCGCCTTTTCTTGCATGAAATGTTTTTCATTAGTCGCTCTTTTCCTTCAAGGTATTCATTGGCCTTGGTATTACATTCCCCTTCAACTTTTTTGCCCATGAGGAGGCGAGAATTGCTGTAGCCACTCCTCCACCCATGTCACACTCCAGAGCCAAATCCTGTCCCAATTCGTCTTCTCCCATCTTTTTGCCTTTCTCCTTCTGCTCTGTTTCCCCGAGCTTATGCCATCGTTCTTCAAAGTCAAGTAAGTCATTCCGTATCGTGAGCGCCTGTGACCCTCTTAACGGGGACACCTCTAGGGCTATACAAAAGGATAGGCCTAGGCCACCCAAGTTCCAAATTGGTCACTCATGATGAAGGCATGGATTTTCCCTTATAATGACGTCCACTGACTGACGGACTCGTAGTGACTACGCCTGCTTCGAAACGCCGCGGTGTCTCAAACACTGTTATTCTTTCTACGAACTCTGGTCGAAAACTGGCCTCTTCTATCAACGGTATGTGCACATGAATTAAGGACCCTTCAACGTCTGACGATGGCTGTATATTCATGTTCCAGTCCGAAGTGGCCCGCCGGATTGGGCCTTGGCGCCCTTCCTACGAGGAGCACGGGCACCACCAGCGGCGACTTGGGCACTTCCCATTGCTAGAGCGAAAGCAATGCTGCCACAGACGTTCCGTCCACTCTCCCTGCAGTTCTTGGGCGACTCTACCTCACAATTACCCGCCGAGACGGCCTTTTTGTAAACAGCCAGCTGGCCTGGGTCTCGGGCATCCTGCATCCAACGCCCTCCACACCACATATCCGCCGCCGTCGCCACCACCACCACCACCACCTGAGCCATCTGGAATAGGCATGCTCTCATCCTCGCTGTCCATATCCTCTGAACACTGTCGGCTCACATGTCAATGTTCACTGAAACCTCCACCGCATCCGCAGCCTCAGCCGCGTACTTGCTCTTGTCGCCTTTTCTCGTCAAAATCGACCTTCGCTACCCCTTCCAAATTCTCGAAGAGGTCACTCTACACTATTCCAGAGTTGTCAATAAGTGTGCCGGATCAGGGTCATCGTAGCTTTACCGCAAAGGGAGGGCGGCGGGGCGATGGGAAGGTTAATGATGGAAAAATGGTTCATTCATCTGGGCGGACATTATTTTGAGAAGATGGAAACGATTGAACTATATTTGACATATAAAAACATTGTATAGAAAAGCACATACATACAATTTACACTAGCGAAGTCCGGGCCGTATAACGATGGTGTTTGTCATTATTCAACCCCCACCGAAATTCTATCGCTCATGCTCACCTACAACTCCTTACATCGATTCTCCATCGGGCCTGACTTCGGCTACGATGGAGTACCTCGACCGCGCTGCTGATAACCCTTTGCGTTATCTCTCACTTCCAGACTCCTTGTCTTCTATGACAAGTGACGGCAGCGCCGGTCTTTTCAACTTGTTCGAGTCGTATTAATCCAATTCTGTAGTTTATTTACATCACTCGACCATTATCATATGTACAACGAAAGTATGTATTTCTAGTCTCCTGGAGATACTATGAATAGTCCACCACATGTAACAAAATCTCTTTGACTCACTCACCACATTAATGTGTTACGAGCTTGCCATTCTTCCCAACTAGCATGGAAAGCTATTCCCCAAGCTTCTTCTGCGTTTGCGCGCTATCGTTCGCAATGTTGAGAGGAAGAGCATCGGATGCTTCAAGCTGAGATGTATCAAGCGGACCGATCACTGAGCGGTACTTCAAGCTAAGAGGTTGGTCTCACTCCAATTTTCCTGTAAATTCGCTCTTTCCCTTGTGTGCTTGTACCATTTCGTGAAATATAATCCCCCCAAGGTATTTACGCCTACATCTTTGATTTTCTACTCACTCGGTGCCATTGATATTACTGAAAGCTTTCTATTTCATGGCTGATCAAGGAGGACTTGGAGGGCGTCTGCGTCGTTCCCCACTGTTAACGGTCAGAATATCCTACTGTCGTGGAAAGGAGACCCTTTTTGCTCTGGAAAACTTGGTTTCTGCTCGTTGAGTCGCCAAAGCTGATGCGAGGACCCTTGGCCTTTCTCTGCCTCAGCAAAGTCATATCCATGTCATTGCTCCTGGAGTGATAGAGTTCTACTGGACGAGTTATGTGGACAGTGTAGGTGCATCTCATTTAGCAGGAGCAACATAATGATATTCTTCTCAGCCTTTATACGCAATTCTGAGACGCAAAATTAGCGGCTGTATCCCAATTCCTGATTCAGTACTTGCGAAACGTCTATGTAGGTGTAGGCACGTCTATCAATATTATTCACACTTATTTGTAGTCCTGCATGAAGCGAGAGCGTCAAGCTTTATGAAGAGTAGGTCCTACTCGGTCTTCTTCCAAGTGATTTTACTACTCATCTTCAGAGCAGACAAAACAAACCCGGATCCAGACAGATACGGCCAACCTCATGTTGGTACGGTACGAAGAAATGATCGATTCCATCCCGATCCGAGTCCGGGAAATCAGGCAGGCTTCCGTTAGTCAGGATCTGCCCTTGCGACATCACTACGTCAGCAATCATTCTTTCCCCCGCAGCCTCAAGTTTTGCCAGAGGCTGCAGCTTCTACATTTCCCGACAGACTTGCAAGCATCTTGAGTGTAAATAGACACGCTGTTCGGGCGCTGGATCAATCCACAATGGTGTCTATAGCTTCACAAACGGGGCTCGTGGAATACAGTAATGAAAATAAGTTTATCACAAATATGGACGTAGGAATCGCTTCCCTCCTTCCTACTTCACCACGTCTGCTAGCTTTAGATGCCATAGATCCACTGGGGTTGGTAGGCAGAGACATGTCTGCTTCTGTCGAATCCGGTGACTTCTCTGCTGTAGAAAATCGTGATGGGGACATTTCTTTCGACACCACAATAGTAGAGAAATCATCGGATCCTGTCGTGGATCTTGCGCCTTCTGTCGACTCATCAACGGGCGCCACTCCGATGGTGAACGACTCCAGTATGAACGCTGTCGCTTCATCTACTTCGAGCGATTGGGAAGAGGACTCCATTGAAAAGGTGATAGAAGATTTATTTGGGGAGGAGTCTTTTGAACCGGATCCAGCCCTTGTAGTCCCCAGTCTTCCTGTCCTGCATGGAGCGTCTCCTCTGCATACGTCCCTGGTTCCAGCTGTATCGACCGAGACAGAGAAAGATCTCAATGACCATGCATGGACCGGCTCTCCATCTTACCATTCCATTCGGTCAACGCCTCCACGTAACCGTTCTGCCTCTATCCATTCCACCCCGCGCGCTTCCTCTCACGATCGACATTCCATCCGGTCTACACCACCGTCCAGTCCCTTACCGCACATTCAGCTTGCATTGATTAAAGAGAGGCAATCACTAGCCACGCAATTATCCTCACCCTTCAAGATACCCACGCAAATGACGACTTCTCCCGTAATACTTGCTTCAAGCCCACCGCCAGGATTGAATTATGAAGAAGGCGACGATCATGCCGACCTGCTGATTGACGATCGAGTAAGTCAACGTGGATATGTATCATGAAGAAGTAGATATTATTGATCTTATCATTGGTCAGGGCGGAAACGTGTCCAGCGTACGTTTCAGGGTCTTCCTCCCTTCTTTGACCTGACCTTTGCCTCTCTAGACTGTATCCGATCCACAGCAAGCTAACGTAGATAAGGTATCGATGGTCAGTACATCCATCAATTAATTATTTGTTTTGTTCGCTGATCCATAACTTGTAGGACCTGGAAACTCCGAGCACACCGGCACAACAAACACCACCCGTCAGCGTCGTGGTAGGTCCTTGTTTCGAGGTTCTTATATATTTCACTGACATCAGTATAAGACTGGGAAGCGATCTACAAATTCACGTTCAGTTTCCCCTCCACCTTCAGCAAAAAGAGTAAGGCGAGGCGCTAGTCCCTCGGACGAACGAGTTAAATTGGAGGCGTTGAAAGAGTACATTGAACGATCTGAAGAACTCCTTACCATGGTCGACACCCTAGCTGAACAAGAGGAATCACTGAGACGCTTGGGTGTCACTCTCCCCGAACGGGATCCCTCTATAGATACTTTTGGTATGTTTCTCCAACATGTGGGGTCTGCAAATCGTCACCATATTCTTCTAGTAACGAGGTCCCGACTGAGAAAAGTAGAAGTGGAGCTGGAGGCTGAACGAAAGCGGCGTCAAGAACTGGAGCTGAATTTGAGTGATATAAGGCGGGAATGCAGACAGCCATTTTTTGTCCCTTCGTTGTTCGATGCTTTCCTGCAGATATCGACGCTTACGACGGCGGCTACTGAACATATTTCATGACGTGAACTTCGAGCTAGTATCTACTCTGTTTTTTGTGACGATTATACATTCAATCGGCTTTGTTGTATTAGTACCGTGAAAGTATGAATCGTTTAGTGCACGCTCGGCCGAAGTTTGTGCCCTTAGTTGTTTTCACTCCGACCTTACTCCGACATTTTTTATCCTTTTTGCCGAGACCATCACGAATGGCGTCAGCTATGCCGTGCTGCGTTGCGCTATCTCGGTTAGAAATTCACCAAATCCCTTTATCGTTGTTTGCACGCAGGGTTTGAAACTGCCTTTGCCTGCCTGATAATCGGCAACGACATGTGGGGGAATACCGTGATCAGTGACGTCTGTCTATCTATCTCAAGTGACTTTTGTTTCTAACTGCCATGGCGGACGAGAAATCCTTCTACAACGACAGCAAAGCGATTCCGGCGCCGGCAACAACGTCGAAGGGTGTTGCAGCGCGTCGATGGAGCATCGTCAAGCTAGTCCTTGCTCTTTGTACTGTGGTCGTGGTCCTCCATTCTGTTCTGCGACCATTGCACTTGCTCGACGTTGAGCATCCCAAGAAATACAAGCCTCTTGTTGGGAAGCGAGCTGAGAATGTCTTTCTGTGCGTATTATCTGGGATCACCCCTAGTTTTCTCATGCTGGAACGTTTGCAGGTCTGTACCGAATGAGGAGGCGTGTATAGCGACATCACGGCACTATACTGCGGAACCGCATCTCGCAGGTTCAACAACCGACCTGTCCACCGCAAAAGACTTTTTGCACTTCCTACAGACTGAGCTTGGCGTCCAACCGCCGACCGAGGATCCTATATTCCCTGCCGGGTCGCCGGAATCTCAGAGTGCCACCCTGTCCATTCCGAAAACGTTCACGGCGCAGGCTTGGATCGATGTTTATTACCCAGTCATGAATACACCACTTGATCGTGCCGTGCAGGCTTTGGATCCAGAGGGAAATGTCATTTGGGATGCGGACTTGACGGAGCACGCTGGCGACACTGACCCGGAGGCTGGCGAATATTACGATTTTGTGCCCACCTTCCACGGTTTGAGCAAGGGTGGCGATGTCACTGGAAAGGTGAGTCGTCCTTGCCGTGACACTCACTGTGCCTCCATCTGATCATGTTTCACTAGCTTGTCTACGCAAACTATGGTTTGAAAGAGGCAAGCTGCTTGTTATGCTTGAAACCCGTCTTTCCATTGACATGCTGCTAGGATTATGATGCCCTTATTGCCAAAGGCAAGCTAAAGTGCTTTTGTCGTGCTCTTGCACCATTTTTGATAGATTTTAGGCGTTAATCTCACTGGTTCAATCATCTTGGCCAGATACGGTGGCAATTTCCGCGGACTCAAGGTCAAAGGAGCACAAGAGGTTGGGGCTGCTGGTATTCTTATATATAGTGACATTCGCGATGATGGCGTTGTAACTGTGGAGAATGGTTACAAGCCGTATCCCGATGGTCCTGCTCGAAGCCCTACCTCGGTCCAGCGTGGTAGCGTGCAATTCATCAGTATGTATCCTGGTGATCCGACAACTCCAGGATATCCTTCGTATGAAAATGTTACGCGCACGGAGGCACTGAACAGTCCTTCGATACCCAGTCTTCCTTTTTCTTGGGCCAATGCTCAAAAACTCTTGGATTTGGCAGAGACAGGAGAAATCAATGTTAGGTTGGTCAACCATGGTGAGCCTGTTCACTTTCGTCATGCACTGACGCTCATATCTAAATGAACGTCAGTCGATGACAGGGTCATACCGATTTGGAATACGATGGCAGTTATTCCAGGCTTCATCACTGACGAGATTGTGGTTGTTGGAAATCATAGAGACGGTGAGTATCGCTTTTTGGTGTCGTCCCCGAGTCTGAATTATCTTCTAGCTTGGGTATGAAATTCCCGATCATTGTTGTGGCGTTCTTCACATTTTAATTATCGAAATTAGGTTATGGGTGCAGCAGATCCCACCAGTGGAACTGCGTCGATAGCTGAGACTATCCGAGGGTTTGGTGTTTTGATGAGGAAAGGTTGGAAGCCACTTCGTACGATCGTTATTGCCAGTTGGGATGCCGAAGAGGTAGGATAAGTCTTTCTGCCCTTGTTGTCCGTCTCAGATTCATAACCGTACAGTATGGCCTCATTGGAAGCACCGAGTGGGGCGAAGACTTTGCAGAATTCATTGACAAATATGTTGTTGCGTATGTGAATCTTGGTAGGTGTACGGGAACATTCTCACGTTGATAGAGGCTAACTTGTACGTAACATAGATGTCTCTGTTGGTGGCTCCAGGTACAGCGCCCAGGCTTCTCCTCTGCTTGCCCATCTTGTGCAGCAAACTGCGCTCGATATTCCGCATCCAACAGACAAAGATCGCACACTTTGGGATGCGACCAAAGATACCGGTACATATTTCGGTGCAAGAAAGGACGGAGAGACTGTTATAGATCCAGATGTTGTAGCCAGGAGTGAGGCCCACGCTAATGCCGTTGATGCGCTCGGTGTTGGTGTATTGGGTTCTGGCAGTGACTATACCGTGTTTTTGCAACGCCTGGGGGTACGTTTTCCGTGCGCACTTGCAGACTTTCATACTTATCAAATGTACAGATTTCCAGTACCAATGGCGGATTCGGTCAGACCATAAACGATCCGGTCTATCATTATCATTCTGTGTACGATTCCGAGCGCTGGATGGAATTATACGGGGATCCCGGTTTCTTCCGTCATGTATGCGCGTTGCCTTCGAAAGCGGAGGTGTTGGATCGCTTATCGTCCTTTGTTAGACCGCTGTTGCGAAGCATCTTGGACTTCAAGTTCTTCGTCTGGCTGATAACGTCGTTCTTCCTTTCAACACGACGCATTACTCGTATGAGCTCGAGAATTATTTGGACAAGTGCGTTTCCTTTTGTTATCTTTGATGAAACACAGCTGAAGATACCTGCAGCGTGGAGAATCTTGTATCGGCACAATCCGTGGATATCGACTTGTCACCTCTCCGGCAATCTATTCATTCTCTGCAAGCTGCCAGTCTGGCTCTGGATTATGAGAAACTCGCGGCGGAGCGGAATATCATCAAGGTCATCAAAAAATGGAGGAAAGAAGCATCAAAGATGAAGAAGCTGAAGAAGAAGCTCCGAAAGGCTTACTGCAAAGTCAGGAAGGCTTTAGGACATCCTTGCGAGCCTCATCGCCGCGAAGAACAACATCAGCCTGCGGAAGAGGAACGCCGGGTCCACCACGCCGGATTCGAGCACCGTATAGGACGTCTTCCTGCTTGGCGACAAGAAGTGGCAGAAAATGAAATGCTTTATGGAATCGCTTTACAAGCTGGCTTTAAGGAATCTCGTCGCGGATGTGTTAAAGCAGAGATTCGGCGCTTTTCCCACTTCCCTATCGGCGAAATGAAAGAAGCCGTGAAGTGTCTTCGTGCCGTTAATCAGAAATTGGTTACCTTTGAACGAGGATTCATCTCGGAGGATGGGATACCGGAGCGCGAGTGGTTCAAGCATCTGGGTGTAGCGCCTGGGAAATGGCTTGGTGAGTATTTTTTTTGGTTGCATTGAAGTATCTGGTTTGATTGTTCCTAGGGTATGGCGCGACTACATTGCCCGCCTTGACCGAGTCTATTACTATTGATGGAAATGCTACTCTGGCTAAGTATGAAGCTGCTCGGCTCAAGGATCTTCTGGATAACCTTGTGGAGAAAATCAAGGCATAAAGGTCTTCAGATATAGGAGTAATTTATTATATAGTATCGGATGCTCTCTGTATCTGCGTCTTTTGCTTACGTCCTGAATCACTAGCCTGAGGCAGCGATAGTGTACAATCGTTCAGTGGGACGCCGAATGGTGTCAAAAGTCAGGTTCTTCATCTTCTCCCACCTTTTCAGCCATTCCCCTAATTTAGAAGTTGCTGAGTACGATCAATCAAGACATACACAGTTCAACCTCATGCTTTGCTCGCCATTTCTCGTATGCTTTAATCACGTCCTTCATCGCAGTATCTGCCTCAGCTGCCCATGCTTCCTGCGTTGCATGGTCCAGCTAGAGCGATATCCCATTAGCCAACGCCATCGGGATCAGAAATACATGGATTTTGCCGACGAATCATGAAGATCAGGAGGTTCTTTGCCAGAGGCGAAGATGTGAAGATAATCAGAATCTGGCAAAATTTTGCGCCGATGATGATCCATCCCCCCCACTCGCGATACTCAGAAGCAATTAGGTGCTCCTCTGACACCAGAGCTTGGGCAAGCATCCGAATGGGACATTGAGGTCGTGGAGAAGGCGTGTGACTTAGATCCAGCTAAGCCAAATGGACAGTTCAATCTCTCAACAGCCCCAACTCCTCCACATGCGTGTTTTCTAAATTCTAACACTTATTGCGAGACAGATGCAGCCTACCAAAAGTCCAGAGACGAAAGAAATCGAGTGGTTGTCTCGTGTTTCTCACTAGGTGGAACAATACTGACCCTTCCACCGCCTTTTAGGCGCAGAATCTGATGAACAAGGTTTCCAAAGGCTGTCAAACCTCCATGATGCTGCCCCAGTATGTAATTGTGATTTCTAGACTTTTAAGTGTGAGACCTCCATCCTTCTTCTATGTCTCACGGTATTCTGATGGGCTCTTTCTTGGAAATTTGTTTCCTAGATAAAACATCGGTTATAAAACGACCGCTTCTTTTCCTCATATCACTTTCACCTCAGTCCCTGTGGCACCATGACGAAGATATTTACTTTGCTTTCTGTTTTTGCCGCTCTCCAAACTATTCTTTCACTTCCAGTTGATGAGTCGGAGGCTCTGTACACGAATGAACGGCAGTATCGGTTTAGATTGCGCCCCGCGCAACCGTCACCGGAGACGAACCTCAGAGAGCCAAAGGTAAAGTTAGTGTTGTAAGTAGAGAGCAGAGTAATGTAACAGAGAACTAGAATTAGCCTCTCGAGAGAGAAACGTTCTACTTAAATACATTTCGTATTACTTCGA